CCTCCCATGTTCTGAAACTGATGCAAACACCCACACTTCAGTGTGGTGAAGGGACCGACAGACCCCACACAGGGGAGAGACTCGCCTTCCTGTAAGGCTTGCAGACAGTGATCCCGGAGGCCAGGACAGTCCGGTTGCCCTCTCCCACTCCAGTGCCCAGGCTAAGTGGGCGCTGCCCTGGTCCCTGGCACAAACTCCAGTTTTGGGGCAGCTCTACATCCTCTTGTAAACCAGTCAAGCACTAAGAAGTGGGCAGGGCTTCCCACCAGCAGAGAACCTCTGGAAGGGGCCAGCGGACGTGCATGGCTAAACAGCCTCTGGTGATCTCGGGGGTGGGGGGACTGTCTCACTGTCTTGCCCAGATTCACTTCTCAAGGCTCCAGAAGTTTCCCAGTAACCCTTGGGCGTTCCTGGTGTCTGCAGCAGTTCCAGCATTCTTACTTGTCAGTAAGAAGTAATTTCATTTGTGTCCAATTACTCAGTCAAATCTAATCCTAAACATTCCAATGTCTTATCTAGAAACTTGACCCCACGTCTGTGGGCTGGTTAGGGTGTAGCAACTCCAGGCTGGCCAGACGTTGGGTAAAGTATAGGAGCAAGAAAAGTTCTTATCCATGAGCTGGACTGGCTGCTTATCTTAGCTCTGGGAATGTACATAAAGGAATTAGTTATTAAAGCTCCTCTGTCAGAGGGAACACTGCTTTCATGAACCATGTAATTCTGCGTCAGATTGAACTGTCCCTCACAGTGATTGTAGGAAGTGGAAAACCGAAGAGGCTGGCAATTATTTTAGCCCTTTAATATTAAATTAGCTTAATATGAAAGATGGTTTAATCATATCTGAAAAAAGACCATTAGTTTCCTGATTTTTATTTTAAATCAGGGGTCCTTTAACAATTTGAAAGATGTTGACTTTAAGAGCATTCCAACTCAGGTTCTGAATCTCCGTACTTTGAAACTGGAGGACTGTGTAGGGGACAGGTTGGTGGCAACAAGCTGGGAAGTGAGAAGGAGAAATCTTTGTGGGAGGAGAAACATAACTTGTTTCTGACTTACTTGTCCAAAGGCCACTGATACTGACACGGGGATCCCTGCGAAGGTTGAAGCTGAAGATAAACCACTTCCCCCTCCTCCAGGTGGAGGCCGTGGGTGTGGCGTGGGCAGAGGTGGGGGAGGCTGGGTGTGTGAAGAGCTGCCAGGGCGATGACGCAGCCGGAGGGAAGGGGCAGTTCTCTCGCTGATACTGCCCACCAGCTGCTCTCGGTGCCTCACCACAGCCCCACCAGCGGGCAGAACCTCAAGATAAGCGTCAAAAAGGAATGGAGCCTTCGCTCACGTCCCAGGGCTTCTACCTGCTGAGTAGGACTCAAACTTTTATTTGGGTCTTAAACTTTTCAGAATGAAACATTGTTATCCAAATGTCCCAGGAAATGGACAGAACAGATAATTCATTAAGAAATTCAAGTGATCGGTAGTATGTGAAAAAAAAAAGTTTACCTTCACTAATAATAAAGGCAGATTGGAAGACAAGGTTACCTGTTTTTGCATATCATCTTGGCACTGGCACTGGTTGGGCATCATTCCATAAATTGCAAGGTTGCTGGTTCAATTCCCGGTCAGGGCACATGCCTGGGTTGAGGGTTAGGTTCAGTCCCCGGTTGGGGTGTGTGGTGTGTGCAGGAAGGAGGCAGCAACTGACCATTTCCTTCTTTTTTTTTTAAATTAAGATTTTATTTATCTTTAGAGGGGAAGGGAAGGAGAGAGGGAGAGGGGAGAGAAATCTCAATGTATGGTTGCCTCTTGTGTGTCCCCTGCCGGGAACTGGACTGGCCTGCAACCCAGGCATGTGCCCTGACTGGGAATCGAACCTTGACCCTTTGATTTGCAGGCCCGCGCTCAATCCACTGAGCCACACCAGCCAGGGCCAATGTTTCTCTCTTGAATCAATGTTTTACTCCCTCTCTTTCTCTCTCCCTTCCCCTCTCTCTAAAAGTAAATAAGTAAAATTGTAAAAAAAAAAAAAAACCCAAAAAACAAAAAACCCAAACTTGGCTCAGATTAAAAATAATACTTTCAACTCTACAAATAAATTGAGACAAATGATCCAGTTTAAAAAGGGGCAAAACACCCTGGCTGGTATAGCTCAGTGGATTGAGTGCAGGCTGCAAATCAAAGGTTCAGTTCCCAGTCAGGGCACGTGTCCGGGTTGCAGGCCAGGCTCCCCAGTGGGAGCCACGTGAGAGGCAACCACACATTGAGGTTTCTCTCTTTCTCTTTCCTTTCCCCTCTCTCTGAAAATAAATAAATAAAGTCTTTTAAAAAATGGGCAAAAAATCTGAATCGATATTTCTCCATGTATACAAATGGCCAGTAAGCACACAGAAAGATGTTCAACATTATTAACTCTCAAGGAAATGCACATCAAAGCCACAGTGATATAACTATACCCTGTAGGTCGGCTATAATGAAAATGATGGACAATAACAAGTGTCAGTGTGGATAAATTATAACCCTTATACACTGTTGATGGGGATATGAAGCAGTACGGCCACTTTGGGGAACAGTGTGACAGTTCCTCAAATGGTGAAACATAAAATTAACCATATGACACAGCAGTTCTGCCCCTAGATACTAGCCAAGAGAACGCACACAGCCACTCGAAAAGTTACACATAAAGAAGCAATCTTATTCTCAATAGCCAGAAAGTGAAAGCACCCCAAAAGTCCAGCAACTGACACATGAATGAGTAAAGGCGGTAGATCTGTACATGGAGTGTTAGGGACCAAAGGGAACGAAGGACTGGCACACTAGCTGCGTGGAAGCCCTGGAGAGCAGGGTGCCAAGTGGCAGATGCCCAGGACAAAGACTGCATTTCGTGTGATTGCATTTATGTGACATGTGCAGAATAAGCAAATACTATGTCTGTCCAGAAATATCCAGCCATGTACTATGAAAAATAGAGACTTTTATTGAAGAAGATACAAGAGACAATAAACATTGTACACAGGACAGTGATGCCTCAGTCCCCTCCAAAGTGGGCACCCTGGGACCTCACACAGTTCTCCCAGTCGCCATTAGCTGCCCCATCATATTTTCCTGAATGTCACTGATGGTCTGAAATCTCTTCCCTTCCAAACCTGACTTTAGTTGTGGGGAAAGTCAGAAGTTACAGGGTAACAAACCTGGGCTGCAGGGTGGCTGAGTCACCCGGGCAATTTGATGTTTTGCCAAAAAAAGACTCTGCGTGAGGTGCGATGCATGAGCAGGTGCATTGTTGTAATGAAGTTGCCAATCACAATTGCCCATAGCTGCAGCCTTCTGAATCATCCCAATACGGTAGTTTCCGTAGACAAATGTTTAAGCTTAATACAAAATTTGATACAGATTCATTGCTCTACTTGCTCAGTCATTTTGAATGTGACAGCCAAAGAGTGCACATGCTCACTCAACAGTGTCTGCTGTCCCCACCGACTAGTACAGTGAGGTCGTCATTGTTTATGCACATACATTCCAGTCCACTCTCCTTGGCCTCCAGGTTACATCCATGAAGTGCAAACCCTCAAACTGTTCTCATTATATTTAACAATGGCCGGAATTTTTCAGCATAGACCTTACATATGCAGACACAAAGTAGATTAGTGGTTGCCTTCGGCTCGGTGGGAAAGGGGGCAGGGAATAGGGATGCTTTTCTGTCCTGGAGAATAATTGGGCTCTGGTGCGCAGGGGCCCTCAAGGAGGTTAGACCCCATCACACTGCCCAAGAAAGAAACTTAAAGGAAAAACTTGAGGTTTATAAAGCTTCATGTTTATAATTACACATCAAATAATTATATAACAGCAGATGCTTGGAAACAATCTAACTGTCCAACCATATGGAAATAGTAAATCCTAAAAAAGGATCAGCCCTGGTTAGAGCATCATCCTGATACACCAAGGTCGTGGGTTTGATCCCCCGTCAGGGCACAGACAGGAAACGACCAGTGAATGTATGAAAAAAGTGGAGCAACTAATCAATGATTCTCTCTCTTCCCCCCTCTCCCTTCCTCCCTTTCTAAAATCAACAAATAAAAAAAGAGGGGCAATATTATACAATCATTAAAACCATTGTTCTGAGGAGCATTGCATAATAAAGGAAATTTCTGTGATAGACTGTGAAGTGAAACAACGTGGTAACCCTTATGTGCCCTGTGAGGAAAGGGTTAACACAGCGGGCCCAGGCTGCTCTCCTTAGGAAGGCTTGCTTGCAAGGTTGCTGCCTTCCACCTACACAGGCCCCCACCCTGGCTCTTTGGAGTGTTGCCTTCGTCCCCTAACTGGTAAGTTTGGCTTACAGTGCCTAGACTGATGGTAAAAACCACGTGGTTTATAATAAACACCTGCTTTCTTTCTGGAAGCCTACAATTTTGGAGTTTCGGTACGTGCTGGGCAGGAGGGTGCCTTTATGGTCAGCCCCCAGTAAAACCCTTGGGCATTGATTCTCACATGGGCCAACCTGGGCAGAGACATTGCACCCCTGTCCCTGGGAGGAGAGTGTGCTCGGTGTGAACGCTCACGGGAGAGAGCGAGCACAAGGAAGCTTGCGTATGGATTCCTCCAAGCCCGCCTCTGACTTTCCCCCACGAGCCGGCTGTGCACCCTTACTCGGCGGCTGTCAGAATCTCAGCCGTGAGTACAGCTGCACGCTGCATCCTGTGAGTCCTAGCCAGTCTCTCAACACGGGACTCATTCCAGGGACTCCCGACAGAGCCACTGACGGGAAAGAAGGACATGTATATAAAATACCCGGGGAGGAAAGAAACCAATTTACAGTGGCTGCTCTGGAATTGTGTTCTAAGTGGCTTTTTAAGAAAAATACTTTCCATTATTTCACGTATTTTCCATGTTCTCATTACTTTTATTTTCAGAAAAAGTTATTTTAAAATCATTTTCTGTTACATTAAATGTTGTCATTGATTTTAGAGTGGCTGACCTCTGATGAGGCGTCTGTCTTTGTTCCGTAGGGTTGCAATCCCCTTGCCCAAACTGGCCGGAGCAAACTGCAGAATCAGAGGGCTGCCTTGAACCAGCAGATCCTGAAAGCTGTGCGGATGAGGACTGGAGCAGAAAACCTTCTAAAGTAGGTGTCTGACGGCTGCACAGCCTCGGCTGGGAGCCCGGCCTCCCCCGAGGCCTGCCATCTAGTCCCTAAACTTGTAGGCCTGCCCAGCTCTCTGTCCGACTCTCGGTTTTAACTTTGGGTTTCCTTCTCATTTCTGGCACCTGGAGCAGGCCCTTTCTTGGCTGGAGCTTGGCTGTGTTAGAGACAGGTGTTTCACCCGGCCTGTCCATGTGTTTGGGCAAACGGGGATCCTGGCGGTTGTCTGATTATTGTACTCCTGTTTCTTTTCTCCGCTTTCTGTGGGATGCGTCTACTTCCTCCGCTGCCCAGCGCTGTGCCTGGTCTAGAATCAGCATTAGTGAATGTGTGTGCAATGTATGAAGAAAAGGAAGGCAGAAAGGAGGGAATGGGGGCGATTCTGTCGCCAGTGTCCATCCCTCTAATGAGAGGGGCCCGACAGAACCCCACACTCCTAGAGCACTTGTTTATTATACTCTGGTGGTAAAATGGTTACTTAGCAAGCACAGAACTCAGTGAAACCTCCCCTGTGTCACAGGCAGCTGTGGCCCTGTCCATACCCCTCAGTGTAATGCAAGACCGTGTGCCAGCTTCCTCTTCTGAACTTCCCTCAGAGTTCGAGGGCCAACTTCTGTCAGCCCCGGGCCGCCTCTATACCTGGTAGCCGAGGCCTGCTGCCCAGGGGAGTGAGACAGATGCCTCCCGGAGCCTCCGAAAGCTGCGGAGCGCCTGCAGGAACCGGGCACCCGGAAGCCTGGCAGGGAACCCGGAGGCCTGGCAGCACGTGGCACTGGGTGTTCCCAGCGGTTCCGCCTTAGGGAGCCCAGGTGGCTCTGAGGTTGTTGGGAAACACAAATATACCCAACCAGGTGTTTATAAAGGAGCCACGATACTCTGGTAGTCACAGACACGTGTGATTGGCTGGACCAACTCCTCTGCGTGGGGGCGACTCACCTGAGCATTCAATAAACAGGAGATGGGTTTCTGACTGTGAACTTGGGCTCAATGCATTTCTGATTCGTTCTGTATTTGCTCCTTAGGAGAGATCTCTGAGATATTAAGTAGGGAAATAAAAACATGCTGTGTGTTTATTTTAAAGGGCTTGTACATGTGCTTTTGTTTATGTATCGACTATTTCCAAAAGGGGTGAAAAAAGAAGCTGTTACTAGACTTGGCTGTTGGGAGCGAGACCAAGGTTGGGGGGAAGGTGACTCTCCTTTTCATTCTACTCCCTTCAGTGTTTCAATGTTCTCTTACAAAGTACACGAATTACTTTCATTTATTTTTATTGAGGAATACTGCAAAGGCCCAGAAGAATCATATAAGCAACCCCCAAAACGGCCACCGGGTCAGGAGTGACAGAACCACGCCTGTGTGGGTTCTGTCATTTGTGGACAGTCGGCAGGGGACACACGGCCGGGGGTGGCCAAGCGTCTGGGAACCTCTTCTCCAGCTACTTCTGTGAAAGGGCAGAAGGGAGGTTGTTACCGGAGGTGACTGGGAAAATCTTGTAACATTTCACCTTTTAAAATGTCTGACAGTGTTCCTGTCCCCACAGAAGGCTGGGGACTGTCCGGTCCCCAGCACTGTGGACCACGTGCGGCTAGTGCAGCTCCGGAGAGGCCTCTGTTTTGAGCAGTGCCTGCCGGGTGCTGGGCTGGCCCTGCTGGCAAGGCTTCGGGCGCGGTCCCTGGTGTGCTGTGGCTGCTGAGGGTCTCGATGACACTCTGACAGGCCATCTCTGTGGCCAAGGGGGCCACAATTGATTTGCCTGTTCATTCACCCCACAAATTGATTTGTTGGGTACCTACTAAGTGCCAAGCGGTGTCTGAAGTACAAGAATAAGGCTGCAAGCAATTCAGGGAAGACTGCTCTTGTGACGCTTAGTTTCTCGTGGGGGGGCCCTAATGCCCCAGTAAACAAGTCTGACCACATCAGGAGGTGGTGTGTCTAGGATGTTGACGAAGGGGAAATGTGGTAGAGGTGGCCGTGGCCTTAGACGGAGGGTGGTCAGCGATGCCCTCCCTGACCAGGGGACTGGTGTTTCTAAGATGGGAACTGAGCCAGCTCTGTCTGTCTTGCTCTGTTAATCACACCAGCAAACAGCCTCTCCGAGGCCTCTAGGCTCAGGCTCCTTGTGCAGGCGGCAGCGGTTGCCCTTGGGGGGGTGGGGCGCGGAGGCAGAGTGGTGTTGTTAATAATTCTCACGGTGACCTAAAGGTTCAAAGTGCCCTTCTCTGCAGAATGTTGTCAAAGGAAACCCGGCAGATATTTATTAATCCGACTCCACCGGCACCAGTGGTTTCCCCAGAACAAATCCGGCAGTTAGCCGAGCCTGACTCTGGCCCCGGGAGTGTGCTGGGCTGTGGGTTAGGTGCCTGGCCCTGCTGGGAAGGAGTAATTTCACTTGTAAGTTGGGTACTGCTGCGTGTCTGTCCATTGGTCTGTTTTCAGGTTCACACATGACACATCAAAGCCCCCAGATGAAGGTAGAGCAGTTGGAATACGTTTGGGAGCAGGACATTGGGAAGGTGTCCCCCAAGGTGCAGAAGTGCAAGGGTCCCAGTCCTGACCGGCATTGGTAAGAGGGCTTTGCGGCTGGGCAGGCACTGTGAGGAGCCAGGTTTTGTACCCTTCGAGGTCTGCTCTGATCTGTATCAGCCAAGAGTCCATGAGCTTCCTGGACTTTGATTAGGAAGATACTGGCTATTTTAAATACACTTTTGTAGGCTAAGCAAGGACAATATTCTCTCTCTTTTCCCTGTTCCCTTCCCTTCCTTGAGGAAAGCTGGGGTGGAAATGTGATGACATATCTCTGCAATGGAGACGGTCTTTGTGAAATTGAAAACAGATTGCCATATAGTTCAGCTTTAATTGTTTCTTTGAACAAGGGAAGGCAAGTCATTTAACCTCTGTGGACTTCAGCGTCCCCTCTCATACTGGTAGCTGTTGGGCTGGAGCAGGGGTGGGCTGCTCTGAGGCCTACAGGGTCCTGGTGGGCATGGAATGGAATGCAGAGCTGGGACTGGTGCTGTGAGGCAATGGGGAGTGGTAGGGACTGTGGCAAAGTAAAGGGCATATGTGTTCTTTGGAGGGGACACAATTTGCCCTATTTGGAGGGCAGAGCCAGGGTTGCCAGGTCTTCCAATGTTTGCCCTTGCTTAGCCTAAAAAGGAGAAGCTAGATTTTTGGTTGTTTTTTTTTTTTTTTTTTGAGAAGCTAGAGATCTGACCTTTTACAAATTGTTAATCTTCTAATAGTTAAATTTTTAAATATTGGCAGGGAAGGGAAAGTAACGCCCTGAGAGCCAAGTGAACCAGTCCCACAAGTCTGTAGTTTGTGACCTCCAGACCAGAGGGTCCGGAGGCTCTGGGCCGGGGCAACCTGGGCTGGCTTTGGCCACAATGAGAGTGACTTATGGTTCGTGACTGCTCACACTGTCACTTCTGTGGGGGCCAGTGTGTGTCTGTGCAGTGGGGTGGGCGGGCTCTCCATGCCTTTGGGGGCCTGCTCCAGCTCTGCAAACTGCCTCCCTCCACAAGAGATGAGCTGGGGGCGATGTCCCATCCGACTGGCTGATCTGCTGCCTTAGCCCGGTGCCCACAGGAGGGCACCAGGCAGCGTGGGCTCTAGCCTCCCGGAGTCCCTGGCAGAGCAGGATGTGGGGGGGGGTCCGATGGATTAAGGCCAAGCTGCTCCGGTAAGGCCTGTGCAGCTGGTGCAAGCCCAAGCCTGTGGGGCTTATTCCCGGAGGGACAGTTTTACTAAAAGACTGGGGAAAAAATGACACTAAAACAAGTGGAGATATGTGGTTTGGAATGCAAAATTCACATGCATTTTTAAAGATAAAACATGGGGATGTTCAAGAAATTTTGTACTTCGAGCAGAGAAGCCTTCATCACAGAGGGGCTTTTTATGGTGGAAAAGGCCTCAGAAGCTTCAAATTGAAGGAGGCCTCGGTTTGTGTAGTTGTGGTCAGTAGCTCCAGGAAACAGCTGCACGTGGCTTCCCTTCCCCCTTCACACTTGGCGGGTTGATCACTCAGACAAAGTAAGTTGCACACCGTCTAATCCTGGACTTTTGCAGCGTGTGCATGCTCTTCATGAAAAACCCAAGGGAGCAGGCCTTGTCTTGGTGGTCTAGGGGGACCGTGGAGACTCTTGGCAGGAAAGGGCTGGAACACACGCTGCCTCATCCCGGTTGGCCACAGGGCCTCCTGGCTACCAGACAACAGAGCCTCAGAGGATGCGCACAGCCGAGGCAGAGCTGTTCCAGCGGGCCCACAGAAGCCATTCATTTTTATCTGGAAAGGCAGTTCAGGTGCAGGCACCAGTGTGGAGGGTACCAAGGGTCTGGTCTTAATCCCTGACTTAATCCCTGACCTGAGCTGATTCTATCCTTGCCTGTTGCCCCAAGCCGTTCCGCCAGCCTGGGCACAGGGGAGCTGAGCACGTGTGCCATATTGAATTTGTGCACCTTATTGAAAAGCCACAACCTGTCATTTGTAACAACTCCAGAGATGCTACTGAGAATATGACTGATTTACTAGCTGATAATGTCCACAAGGATGCTTGGAAGAAAATCCTCCCAGGCCTCAGTACTGGGAATGGCTGCTTCTTAGCAACTGGTCTGCTTTTGGCTAATGGGTATAGAATGTGCTCCAGATCACATTCCCTTCTTCATACCGCTCTTCAGGAAGCTCAGCGACAAACTGTCGCCCACACCTAGTAAACATTTTAGGGTTTTGTAGCATGTACTAGCCTCACTTCTGGCTAAACCTCTTCTTTATTTTTCTTCCTCTGCTCCCACATTCTCATTCACTCCTGCTCTAACCTCACATGTATGGGTGTGTTAAGGTGCCTCAAATCCATTTTGGAACGAGGCACGATGAACACTTATACCTCCTGGTACAATGACAGGTTTTGGCTTTTCAATAAGGTGCACAAATTCAATATGGCCCACCTGCTCAGCTCCCCTGTGCCCAGGCTGGCGGAACGGCT